TCCCTTGAACCCGGGAGGCAGAGGTTGCAGTGAGCCGAGATAGCGCCACTGCACTCCAGCCTGGCGACAGAGTGGGACTCCGTCTCAAAAAAAAAAATAAATAAATAAAATTGGGCGTGGTGGTGCGAGCCTGTAATCCCAGCTCCTCAGGAGGCTGAGGTGGGAGGCTCACTGGAGCACAGGAGGTTGAGGCTGCAGTGAGCCGAGATCGCACCACTGCACTACAGCCTGGGCGACACAGCCAGACCCTGTCTCAAACAAATAAATAATAAAAATTTAAGACTACGATAACCCAATAATTGGCCCACGGGGCATTCAACCTTCCATGGATTGAAAATATTCGGGAAAAATAAAGACAATAAAACATAATACAAATAAATACAATATAACAACTAGTTCCATAGCACTTGCATTGTATTAGGTAATTTACTTAATCTAGGGGATGATTTAAAGTATCTGGGAAGGTGTATGTAGGTTATATGCAAACACTACACCATTTTACATAAGGGACTTGACCAGAATCTGCGGATTCTGGTGTCTACGGCGTCCTGGAACTAATCCCCATTTCACACGAGGCGATGACTGTACACACGTTAGTGTGTATTAGGCCATCAAAACGCCTCCGGGAAATTCTCGGGTTATCTTGAAAACCCCTTTCCTACCCAAGCCCTTTAGCCTAGAGGGCTGTTGGGGCGGTCGCCTAAGAGACCACACAGAAACAACTGCGCATGCGTGCATCCCGCCGGCTGATGCAACCGCGCGCTACCGTGCGGCTCTACCTCGAGTAAGGAAGCCGACAGGGAAATCCGGCGCGACCAATCGGCGGCCACACGGAAGTGGGCGGAAAGCCCCGCCCCCCGGGGCTTTGAGAGAGACGTTGGGCGGCGCGGCGCTAGTGGCGTAGACGCCCAGCAGTCCTGCGTCTCTTCCGGCGGCTGGGGGGTGTCCCGCCGGCGCGCGGGCCCTGCGGCCATTTTGGGCTTCGCTTCCACCGCACCAGCCAACCTACCTAGCCCTTCCGGTGTCGCGTTGCTCAGGGGTTCTACAACCTTCTGTCACTCAGAAAACCACCGCCGAGGCCGTGGGCAGGCTCCTATCGATGGTGTTGAAGCGTCGAGCCGACTAGGGAACGTCCTTTCCCTCCAGGATGGAAGTCGCATCAGCTGCCGCATATTGCGCGGGGTGTTTCTCCCTGTGTTCTGCCGTCCGCTGCCGCATCCGCTGCCCTCTGTGGCTTTTCTGCTGGCTCGGAGATCGGCCTGGAGCACCGACGCCACCGCTAGGCAAGGCCGAGACTCTGTAGGTTTCCTCCGAATCCCGTCCGACCTCCAGCCGCTGAGCCCCGCGGCCCTACCCGAGAAACTGCCAAGGAAAAGGAGATGGAGCCTGAGACAGGCGGATCGCGGAAACGGCCTGGCCCTTGGGCGGGCTTCCGGTTCTGGCCACCCTTTTTCCCTCGGCGATCGCAAGCAGGCTCTTCTAAGTTCCTGACGCCTCTTGCGCCGGAAAACTTCGGGGACCCCACACTGCTTTCCTCTGCCCAGCCCGAGACTCGGGTCAGCTACTGGACGAAGCTGCTCTCCCAGCTCCTTGCGCCGCTCCCCGGATTACTTCAGAAGGTGCTAATTTGGAGCCAACTTTTCGGTGGAATGTTTCCGACCAGATGGCTAGATTTTGCTGGAGTCTACAGATCCCTGAAGGGACGGGAGAAACCAGCCGCCTCCACGGCGCAGAAATCTTTGAGTTCGCTGAAGCTCGACTCCTCAGACACCTCGGCCACCAGTCCCCTTAATTGGCTAGAGGAGGGGATCCACTGGCAGTGTTCGCCCCCAGACTTAGAATTGGAGCTTAAGGCCAAGGGAAGTGCTTTGGACCCTGCAGCACACGCTTTTCTCTTAGAGCAGCAGCTAGGGGGAGTGGAGCTGTTGCCCTGTAGCCTTCAATCCCGTCTGTACTCTGACCGGGAACTTGGCTCTTCGCTCTCTGGGCCTCTAAACATTCAACGCATAGACACTTTTAACGTGGTATCCTATTTGCTGAGCCCCTCCTACCTGGACTGCTTTCCTAGGCTAGAAGTCAGCTATCAGAACAGTGATGGAGATGGCGAGCTAGTTGGCTTCCAGACACTAACCACAGAGAGCAGCTGCCTGAGAGAGGACCCTTGTCATCCCCAGCCGCTGAGTGCAGAACTCACTCCGGCCTCGTGGCAGGGATGTCCACCTCTTTCTACAGAAGGCCTACCAGAAATTCACCATCTTCGCATGAAACGACTGGAATTCCTTCAGCAGGCTAGCAAGGGGCAAGAGTTACCCACCCCTGACCAGGATAATGGCTACCACAGCCTGGAGGAGGAACACAACCTTCTCCGGATGGATCCGAAACACTGCAGAGATAACCCAACACAGTTTGTTCCTGCTGCTGAAGACATTCCTGGAACCACCCAGGAATCCACTGAAGAAAAAATAGAATTATTAACTGCAGAGGTTCCACTTGCTTTGGAAGAACAGAGCCCTTCTGAGAGCTGTCCATCTTGTGAGATACCTATGGAAAAGGAGCCTGGAGAGGGCCGAATAAGTGTAGTAGATTACTCATACCTAAAAGATGACCTTCCCATTTCTGCCAGACCAGCTTGTAGTAACAAACTGATAGATTATATTTTGGGAGGTGCATCCGGTGACCTGGAAACAAGTTCTGATCCAGAAGGTGAGGATTGGGATGAGGAAGCTGAGGATGATGGTTTTGATAGTGATAGCTCACTGTCAGACTCAGACCTTGAGCAAGACCCTGAAGGGCTTCACCTTTGGAACTCTTTCTACAGTGTAGATCCTTATCATCCCCAGAACTTTACAGCAACAATTCAGACTGCTGCCAGAATTGTTCCTGAAGAGCCTTCTGATTCAGAGAAGGATTTGTCTGGCAAGTCTGATCTAGAGAATTCCTCCCAGTCTGGAAGCCTTCCTGAGACCCCTGAGCATAGTTCTGGGGAGGAAGATGACTGGGAATCTAGTGCAGATGAAGCAGAGAGTCTCAAACTGTGGAACTCTTTCTGTAATTCTGATGACCCTTACAACCCTTTAAATTTTAAGGCTCCTTTTCAAACATCAGGGGAAAATGGGAAAGGCTGTCGTGACTCAAAGACCCCATCTGAGTCCATTGTGGCCATTTCTGAGTGTCACACCTTACTTTCTTGTAAGGTGCAGCTGTTGGGGAGCCAAGAAAGTGAATGTCCAGACTCGGTACAGCGTGACGTTCTTTCTGGAGGAAGACAGACACATGTCAAAAGAAGAAAGGTTTGTTTCTTATCTTTTAACATGCCTGATATGTTCTGACTGTTTTGATATGGTTAAATATAGCAGCATGACTTTGGAGGCTTAGGAGTGCATGTGTTTTTGAGGAAGACCTCTAAATTCGTATACTTGCATTGAGAAATATGTAAATGACCCTTCTCCTCTCCCTGACTCCCCACCCCCATGCACATTTTTGCTGTCCACGACGAATATACCAGCGTGTAGATGTTAGCAGGAAAGTGCCATTTTTCTTTGGGTTGGTAGTTCTGGACTGTTTCTTTACAAGCTTCAACTTTTCACACTTTTTAACGGACTATTAAACTTTGTGTATACACGATTTAATTTTTCTAGAGATTGAAAAGGTCCTGTTACAGCCATAGAGTTTTAAACTGATTTTAAATGTATGTTGTTTGCGAATACTTAATATTTTGTTTGCACATAACAAGAGTGTCTTCATTCCTGTCCATTACAACCCAAAGGGATGATGATATCAAGTAGTAAGTTAAGATTTATTTGGTCCAATTTGCCATGAAAGAAAATAGTAATTTCAGTGGTTTTGACGTTACATGATTTTAATTGAAAGTCAAAGCCAATACAGGAAATGGTATTGCCTTTTCTTAGGAATGCAGTGCTAGTTATCAGTGGTCAGCTACAGTTAATATTAATAAAAACAGTGATGGCCACTTACTTGGTTTATCTTGACTAGTTGCTTCCTATTCCCAGGCTAATTTCAGGTTAACCTTATTTTGGGAGTGTTTTGAGTTGGTTTGTTTTTCTTTATAGTTGCTTTAACTAAAGTTATTAATTGAACTCTCCGCAAACCGAAAGGTGTCTATTGTAGAGGGAAAGTTTTTTTAGTTTTCTATGCCGTTACTTGGAAAGAGAAGATATTGGGTGAGTTATTACTGACCTCAGCTTCCGCCGCACTGGGGAGTTTCAGATGGACAGTGCCATAATCTCTTGGCTCCAGATGGCCAGCTTAATACTTTGAAATTATTCCTGGGTAGAAAGTATCTCCAAATGGTGATAATCTTACGTCTTACCTTTAGGGCAGAATAAGTCATGTTAAAAATTAAATTTTAGTTCACACTGTGTAAATGCCATCTCTCTGTCCTTTTAAGGGGCCCCTGACAAAATGACCTATTTAGAATGAATAGGTAAGAAACAAAGTGGGGCAATGGAATGAGCACTTGGCAGCTGGAGCCCCGTGTTCTCTACTCCTCAGTGGTTAAGGCGGAGAGATTTGGAAGGCAGCCAGACCTGGCAAGTTACTTGACTCTCATGGCCTCAATTCACTCTTACTTGATGGGAAAAATAATAATATCTATTGTACAAGTTATTGCAAGATTTAAATGAGACAAGTAAATAAAATTCAGAATTTATTGCCTTGCCTTTAAATGCTAGCTCTTATTGAGAGACCTCAGGCCAGTCTCATGTCTAATTTTAGCTTGCTCATTGAGTAAAATGAAATGAGTGGAGTAGATGATACTGTGAACTAGAAGCAGAATTTGTAAATGATTATGTCTGAATATGATAGAATCATTTGACAGCCTTTGACTATCTGTCGTTGGTATATATGGAGTATGATGTATGGAATATATGGAGTATATAGGATGATGGGTAGTGAGTCTAAAAAACCCTTCTACCTCTGTTTTCTTATCTGTATAATGATCCGTACCTCATAGGGTTAATGTGAGGATTAAATGAGATAAAAATGTGAAGCTCTTTGAAAAGAGCTGGTATATGATAAACGCTGTACGTTTTTATCATTTATCTTAATGACACAATGAATGAGTAGTATTCAAGACTAGAATGCAATAACTGGTAAGGTGTTACATACCTGCTAATTGTCCTCAGGGGCATCCCTTGGCCTGATGTAAAGGGAACAAAAGTAGTAGGCCACAGTAGGGTTAGCTGATGTAACTATTAAACATACTTTAAAGCGAGTATTTGCTTTTGGAGTTTGATAGCTTAGAAAGAAGCTTCATAGAAATTAAGTAGTGATTAAGTAGTAATGAGTAGGGATTGTCACTCATTACATGTCATTATGTATATTAGAATCACAATTTCATATATAGGATAGCATATTGAATACAAAGGTTTTTGAAATCTTAACTACAAAGTTTCTTAGAGTAACACAGCGTTAAAAATACTAATTTTGCTGTACTTTATTTACTAAGTAACTTTTTCTCTTCTGTATTGTTATTGCCAAAGTAATGATACAAAAATAGTACTACATGTTGATTTAAAAGTTGGAAAGTGAAAACATTTTCTAAAAGGAAAAAGAATAGAAGTAAGCAAAAATATTGTTAAAGCCTTTATGCAATGATAAAAACAGTGACTTCCGGGGATATGGCGGTTATTTTCAGAAATATTTTGCTTATCATTTTGAGGGAAGAGTATCACAGAACTGTATTTCCCTAAGGATTAAAAAATAGCAGGGGTTAATAACAGCATGAAAAATTCAATTCCCCATCTGGATTCATTTTATTAACACCAAAAGCCAAGGGCTGGTGGGGGATGCATGGGGGCAGACAACTGTATGTGTGTATTATGCAGATATAGATAAATGAAGGATATATATATATAAATGAAAGATATATGTCTCTACATGAAATATTTAGGTGACATTTGTTCACTATTTTATCCAAATGCCATCTAATCAGAACTTTTTTTTTTTTGAGACAGAGTTTCGCTCTTGTTGCCCAGGCTGAAGTACAGTGGTGCGATCTCGGCTCACTGCAACCTCCACTTCCCAGGTTCAAGCTGTTCTCCTGCCTCAGCCTCCTGAGTAACTGGGATTACAGGCGTGTGCCACCACGCCTGGCTAATTTTTTTGTATTTTTAGTAGAGACAGGGTTTCGCCATGTTGGCCAGGCTGGTCTTGAACTCCTGACCTCAGGTAATCTGCCTGCCTCTGCCTCCCAAAGTGCTGGGATTACAGGCGTGACAGAACTTTTTTTTTTTTCTTTAACTTCAGATATAGCTGGAACCAAATATTCCTAAGAACAAGATGTTATTTTTAGTTGGGAATAGTAAGATATTCTATATTCTGAAAAAATTGGTAGCATGAAGGGTTATTGACCTCAACGC